AAAATGAAAATTGAGATTTCGGACTGTAAATATATTTAAAAATGGAATCTTTCTTTAAACTGTTTATAACACGGAGAGACCGCCGGTTAGAAAAATTACTAAAAAAATTTACAAGTAGCGGAAATAAGGTTACATTGTCAAACATTGCTGTAGACTATAGTAATTTCTATTCCAATTTGTGTGCAATTTTACTATAGTATACAGGTTTTATTAAGTATGCTGCTAATAGAATTTTCGATTTCCTACAGCAATATATGACAAAGTAACTTTATTTCCGCTACTTGTAAATCTTTTTAGTAATTTTTCCAACCGGCGGTCTCTCCGTGAACAAAAGCCTATTTAGTGAAAATGCTATAAAAAACTTGGATTTAATTTTTAAAGAGATTCGATGTTTAAATATTTTAAAGATATAATATTGAAAAAGTTTTTTAAAATTAAAAATATTCTAAAAGTTTTATTTATTTGATTCTAGATTTTTTATTGAATATTCTAATAAAAGTAAATATATATTTCTGATAGAAATATAAATCAATAATAATGATAAATACTTAGTTTATTAATAATCGCAAGAAATATGAATGTCTTGTTTAATAAATATAATACTTTAGGTTACAAAAGGATTTTAGTTATTGCATTAAGTTTAAAATAACACTATGCACACTGCTTTGCTCACATTATAGTACGTTCGGGACTCAGTACTAGACTCGAGTAGACATTAATACGTACAAAGTCTATTAACGTGTTTTTCTCCTTTTATCATTTATTTTAAAATTTTTCATCGTGGAGCGGGAAAGGTAGACTAATTTAGGAATGAGACTTAAATTACAAGTATTGAAGCCTAATATTTCAAATTGAATTTCTCTCCGTGCTTTACTATTCTAGTGAAATTTTTCGCTGTTAAATAATAATTAAAGTAAAAATATCGAATGTGAAAATATTAATATTTATGTTTTTTCAATCTAAGACTTTTTTTTAAAGAATTTTGTATAGTTTTAATTTTTTTTTTCCTGTAATATTTGAAAAACAACGTCGTTTAGAATACAAAGATTATATGTTTATGGTTTTGGAACAAAATACAGGAAACTCTTTCTCGTGCCTCATGCAAAAGAATTTCATGTAAAGAAGTATGTACTTTATGAGCTTAGTGTACATATTATGTATCTATATATACATTTTCATTAATATCCAACAATATATATATACATATATATGTATAGTTAGAAATAGTTAAACATTTCCATTGACTCAGAAAATAAGCACGGTTTTAATTATGTGCACGTCATCCAACACGAATTTAAATAATAACATATGTTAAACTGATTACACGTTGATCATATTAAGATTGTGTCTAAACTTTTTTTTATCGATTGCAATCATTTTTTTTTTTACACAGAAAAGTGAATATTATATACAATCCTTTGGCTAAAAATCATTGTTATTTAAAACGGAAATTTTACAATGTACATTTTTTATGACACATAAAAATATGGTAAAAAAAGAACTTGAACTGAATTTTTCAGATGAAAATAGATTTTAATTTTAAAATAATAATAATAATAATAAGTTTGCAATAAAGAAAAATTTTTCTTAAACCAAGAGAAAAGATACTATTTGTCTCAGAGCTAAATAAATATTTAATTGTTGCAAATAAATTTTATTTCATGTAAATATAAATTTTATTTATAAAAAATTTTATTTGTCATAAATAAAATTTTTATTTACGACCTTTATTTACGCCAAATAAATGGGCTCTGAGACAAATAATATATATTTAACTCGAAATATATTATATTTGGTTAAAATAAAATAATTATATTTCTTTAGACGTTTTTTTTATAATAAACGTTTAAAAAATCCAATTATCAGAAATAAAGAAAAAAAACAAACTTTCTTCGAAATGAAGAGCAATTTATTTATTATCATTCTATTCAACTTTGAAATGAAACTGATATTCGACATCCAGTCTCTTCTGCAGTAGTGAAGCGTTAAGTTTCATATCAATATTATATCAAGTCTGAAACAGCACTTTACTTAAATAATTTTGTAACACGACTTTTATTTCAGTTTTTTTTTCTTATATGAGAGCTTTAAATAATTTTTTAATTTTGTCTCTTTTTAGTCGTAAATTGATAATATTTTTATATGTATATATTAATTAGAATATTTTTTTCTTTTTTTTCATAATGTGAATACATTGTAAATTATATACTGCATTAAAGAGCATTACCTGTAAATTAGAAATAAATAAATAATTATATCATTATAATATTAAATTCATGGTTTTGCAGCATTTTCAAGTTGAATCGTCAAGTTTGCAAATGACAGATATTTGATATTTTATTTCGCATATAGGTATATGTTAATAATTAGGAACGCCAATTCTGTTGATGGATTAATATTAAATTTAAAATATATTTATACGAAGGAGACTGAGAATTTGCTTGAAATTCTAGCTCACGATTGATGTTATACGGTCAAGCTCTGAATTTTGATATTCAGAAAATAATCATCATAATATATCAAATACCGAGTAAATTCTATATCATTTCAAATGAAAAGTAGAGGAAAAGATATACTTTTTCATTTAGATAAACAAAAATATTTTATTTAACCAACTTTTTATAATTTTATTTAATTTATCTTTGAATATTTTTATTTATATTTTTAATTTAATTTAATATTTTTAACCTTTAACATTTAGAAAAACACTTTTTTCTTATTATATACATAATAATTATTTCCGAAATAAAAATCTTTTGAGAAAATTTTCTTGATGAGAAATTTATGAGTGAAAACTGTAATTCAAAGAAAAAAAAAGTGAATCTTTAATTACTTGGTTTTTGCGAAAGTCAAAAGAAAATATAGTTTTTAAAAAGTCCAATTCCCAAAGCTTCATTATAAAAGAATTAAAGTCTTTTATATTTGCGTGTATATATATTTAAGAATTCTTTCCAGTTTTTTTTTTTTTATTTCAGTTTTCTTTCGTCACAAAGTTTATTTAGAAAATAAGAATCCAATTAAGTAAAGTTTATTTATATTTCAAAAAGAAGATTTTCATTAATGAGTTTTTGTCCTATTTTTGCGAGCGCGAAAATGTTTTATAAAAAAAAGAAAAACGACTTCCAAGAAATGTGACAAAAATATTTTTTTACCCTTGCGGTAAAAGGTTTTTCTACGCTTTGCATAATCAATATTACTTGAAACACCTGTAGAATTTAAAATTTTAATCAATGTTATATATATTATGGTAAATTAAGGAACAAAGACGAACATTTTCAATGATATAAAAAAATGTGACTTGCCTAAAGAAAGGTAAGCAAAAACTTGTAGGTTATGTTTTTGCCTTGATCCAAAGCATTATAAACATAACCTATAATTTTTTGCTTCTTAGCACATGTCACTTTTATTTATATTAATGGATTTTTTCATCAAAATCAAAAAATGCGGAAGCAAAATATTATAGGTTATGTTTATTATAGTTTTGATCAAGGTAAAACTGTATCTTAAACATAACCTCTAATTTTTTGCTTCCCTTTCTTTAGGGCATGTCATATTTATTTATATCAATGGAAATATTCGTCCAAAAAAGAAGAAATGCAAAAATTTATAGGTTATGTTTATGATATAGTTGTACATTGATCCAAACTATTATAAACATAACCTTTAATTTTTTGATTCCATTTTTTTGGAACGAAAATAATTATAGGTTATGTTTCTGATTGTGGTTTTACCTTGATCCAAACTACACAGATAAAAATGGAAAAACGAATTAAGTAACGTTTACTACTTTAAAAATAATACCGGAACTGTCCGCAGTTTCTGCGCATTTTTGGCAATTTTTACTCCAGAAATAGTGAAATTTACTCCTGAAATAGTAAAAATTATTTCGGACATAGTAAATTTTACTATTTCTGGAATAAAAATTGCCAGAAATACGGAGAAACTGAAAACAGTTCCGGTTTTACTTTTAAAGTAGTAAAAGTTACTTTATTCGTTTTTCCATTTTTCTCCGTGTATCATAAACATAACCTATAATTTGTTGCTTCTATTCCTTTATTTTGATGAAAATATCCATTGATATAAATAAATGTGACTTGGTCTAAAGAAAGGGAAGCCAAAAAAGTTATAGGTTATGTTTATGATAGTTCGGGTTATGGTAAAACTACAATCATAAACATAACCTCTAATTTCTTGCTTCCCTTCGGGGCAACTTACATATATTTATATCTACACTGTAAAAAAAATTTTGTGTCGATTTACACGCCGAATGTAAAATAACTTATTCAACAATGTTAATTTATTATGCTTTGTAAATTTATAACGTTAAACATTTTAATTTTACACTGCTGAACGTTGTGAATTCACACGGTTGTGTAATTTTACAATGTTGGACATTGGAAAGTATGGCCATACACGTATGTGGCCATACTTTCCAATGTCCAACATTGTAAAATTACACAACCGTGTGAATTCACAACGTTCAGCAGTGTAAAATTAAAATGTTTAACGTTATAAATTTACAAAGCATAATAAATTAACATTGTTGAATAAGTTATTTTACATTCGGCGTGTAAATCGACACAAAATTTTTTTTACAGTGTATGGAAATTTTTGTTCCAAGAAAAAGAAGAAAAGCAATCATTTACAGGTTGTGTTTATGATATAGATCTATCTTGATCTAAAATATTATAAACATAACCTCTAATTTTTTGCTTCCCTTTGTTTAGAGTAAGTCACATTTATTTATATCAATGAAAATTTTCGTGCAAGAAAAGGAAAGGAAGCAAAAAAATTATAGGTTATGTTTTTGATAGTTTGGATCAAGCTAAAAACATAACCTATAATTTTTATGCTTCCCTTTCTTTAGAAATATCTAAATGCATTTTAAAAACGATATTTTTTTCCACATTTTTGATTTGTGATCTAATATTTTCGATGTATTTTTTCCACATTTTTGATTTGTGATCTAATATTTTCGATGTATTTTTTTTTTGTTTCAGATGAACTAACAGTCGAAGAAAGATGTTATCTTGGTGTAAAATATGACTGATTTAAGAATGGAGCCAGACGAGTTGTTGGGACAAAACTAAAGGCCTCGTTTAGAGGGTTGTAAAGTCACGTCGTGTAAAAGCACGAGAAACGAAGAACAGAACACTTAACCTCGATCGCTCAAAGTGCCAAAAGCGCTTTCGTTTCACGCGATCTCGAAGGTGAAATAATCGTGAAAATTATTACTCAACTATAGAGAGAGAGAAAAGAGAAGGAATTTAGTCGCGCGCATTTATAATGTGGCATTATACTCCTTGAATTTCCCATTTTGACTGAAATTACAACATCGATCTATATAATCGTTATATATATATAAAAAAATTCGTGTTGAAATTCTATATATAAAAGTTTTAAACAGTTAATTATTATCGTATAGAATTAATTAATTAATTAATTCGTATTCGTGTATAGAAGTGTTACAGTGTTTACGTGTTCATTGTTAATAATTAGAAATTATATCTCCGTCCTGATATATAAATATATTTAAATGATGAACCAAATTAATCAGTCATCATCGAAGAGGAACATTTCAATAATTGTGAGTGATTTGGGACTAAGAGAATTAATTTTCAAAACGACAAGAAAGAGTGAAGGAGATTGCTGTATATTGGAGGATTATTAAAAGAGCCTCGTGACGGAGGGCCTTCGTACGGCCCTGGCGCGGCTGCGGCACTGCACCCCTTCCGGGGGTTCCCTGCCAAATACCCCGAATCCACCCTCAACCCCGGAGCACAGAGCCCACGTAAGTCGAGTCAAAGTACGTTTCTTTTTTTTCATTCGTATTCATTTAAAAAATAAAATTAATTCGTGCAAAATTTATTTTCTTTTTGTTTTTTATTTTATTTATAATCAGAAAATTGTTTGGAAAGTATAGGGAAATTAATTTGAAATTTGAAAAATTTCAAATTATTTTTACAATCATTTAATATTTTTTCCCTAACAGAATAATTTGTTTGTTTCTTTTTTGGGCGCGTAATTATTTCATAAAAATCATTAATTATAGAATTTCAATTTTTAAAACTTTTATTAGGGTAAATGCACTAATTGCGGCGCGATTCGAGTCAAAACACCTTTGAAATAGAAAATTCGACATTTCCTATTGTATAAACTCAATTTAAGACTTATTAAACTAAAAGCTTATGTTATTTAGATATTAAAAAAAATTTTAACTTTATAAAAATCGGTTATTTAAATAAATATGAGAAATTAAAATTAATACCGTAATTTTCTATTGCGGCCCGTTTGTATCAGTTTCTGTGTATCAATTTCGGTGATCAAATTGCGTGGAAAAAAATTTTATCTCAAATAATTAAATTAATAATTGTTTAAATGTGCATCTTTATAAGTAATTGTAGTAAGAAAAGATTAAAATAATTTTTTTATCATTTTGCAACAGTTATATTAAATATAATAGTAATAATAGTTATTTTTTATGAACGCGCCGTAATTGATGCACTCGCCGTAATTGGTACACTTACCCTAGATATAAAAAATAATTAACTAATAATATAATAAATAATTTTTAGATGAATTTTCATCAGAATTTTTTTTAAATTTTATTTTAAATCTTTTTTTTTAATTTTTACTTTGCAGATTTATTAAGTAACAAATTTTTATTTGTCAGAATTCTTGTTTTACAAAATTTCGTTTTACACAACTTTTTAATTTAACATAATTCTAATTTAATCGAATTTTAATTTATCATAATTCTCATTCAACAAAATTTATAGTAATTACTATTTTTAAATGTAAAAATTTCCAATTCATCAAATTTTCATTTGTTTCAAATTACAAAAGGCCCATAATAAATAATTGACAGTAAAATTTTGGCGCAATTTTTAAAATTAACCAATCACGATTTTCTTATTGCTGATTGGTCAATTTTAAAAATCGCGCCAAAATCTTCCTGTTGTTTTTTTTATTTATTAAATTATTTTATATTATTTATTATTATTATTATTATTATTATTATTATTATTATTATTATTATTATTAATAGTTTTATCATTTATTAAATTATTTTTTCTTTATTTCTAATTTCGGATAAATGAAGATTTGGTGAATTGGACATTTTAATATTGAAAAATTCAAATCACTCAAAATTCACCTGAATTAAAATATAATTAAAAATGATTAGAATACGGTTAATTAAGAATTCTTCTGAATAAAAATTTGGCTAAGAAGAAATTCGGTGAAATAAAAATTCTGCTTAATAAAAATATTCGAAAAATTCTTTAAAGTAAAAATTTGTTTAAAAATAAATTCTCTACATTTCGAAAAATAAAAATTCTGTTAAAAATAAATATATATCTAATTAAATTCTTGAAAATAAAAATGCTTAAAAATGATTTTTATGGAATAATAATGTGCCTGAATTTTTTATTTATTCAAAATAAAAAAATTCTTTAAAATTAAATTGTAATTTAAAAAAAGGTTTCAAATAATTTCAGTTCATTGGATTGAAAAATTGAATTTCTTTTTTTTACTTTTTAATGAATAAAAATTAATTTTATGAAAAATAATATTGAAACACAAATACATGCAATTTTTCGTTTAATTAGTTTTTGGTTATATGTACAAAAAATTTTTTCTAAAGTAATTTATTCCACGTGATAAAGTTTGATGTTAAAAGTGCACTTATTTCCAGAATAGTAATCTAATTTTCATTAATTTACGTATTTCGTCATTCTATGAACGCCAGAACCAAGTAGTTTACGGCTCGTTAAACCAGACGTGCTGGAGCCGGCTGTTTGGTCGAACGATGACTTTTATCACTGCGCTTGTCTGACCCAGAATTTTTGGCTAAAACAAGCGCAGAAAGCAACTTGAGTCTTCAAATATTCTTTCATCAACGTTGAAAAAAAAAGTTGCAATTTTAAAAAGTAACAAAATTTACCTCTTTTGCTTCCTCTGGAGGAAGCTATTTTTATTGTCGCATAATTATTTTTATATTCTCGAATTAGATTCTTTAAAATTAGATTTAAAAATAATTAATAATAGATAAAAATTGCCAGTGAAATTATAAATCAGATTTTTCCGATTCTATAGACAAAAAAAGGAATGGGTTTTATAGGACCATTCTTTTATAAAATGGCTCATACAATAATGTCGATATTTGCTCCTCTTTCTCTTAAAATATTTTACCTCAATTGACTTAAGCAATTAGGTCAACATTTTTTTTTCTTTTTTTATAAATCATACAATGAACCAAATTGTTCGATTTATTTATCAATTTTTTTTTCGAAAAACAAATTATTTTCTAAAGAAAAAAGAAAAATTTGCTATCTTTTGAGCATTTTAAATAAGATATATGTCTTTGACTTGTGAGAGAGAAGCAATCTAAAGTAATACATATAATATGTCATTGATGAGAGAAAACTTTGCTATTTGTTCGACAATTTATTCGCAAGATAAATTTTCCAATGATAGAATTAAATTAGGTCGAACTCGAGTATTCGGATATTCTCTGAATCCTATATCCAATCATAATTTTTTCGAATTGATTTTTTCCGGATTCTCCCATAAATAATATCTTCATTTCCGGTTGGTAGATATATATCTCGTGATTCTGCAGTTTATCTTGGCAAAGTTTATAGAAATACGATCAGAACTGTTGGTTATAGCTTCTCAAGAACAGAATCAACTTTATCTTTATCTAATGTGTGTATCTTAGTAAGAGAAAAAAAATAAGTTCTAAATGTTTTATATACATCGGAAAATATTTATCAACAAAATTTTTTTTTAATATCTATAATGAATTTATTAATTAAAATTAAATTTTACATTCAACTGAATAATTTTCATTGCAATTTATTTGAAATTTATTTACTATTTTATAAAAAATTTTTTTTTTGCATTATTATATTGATTTGCAAATTTTGTTCCATTTTTTTTTATTTTTGAATGAATTATCTTTAATACTAACTTTAGCAAAATCCCTCAAGTTTTTTCCAAAGTTGAACATTTTTTTTACCGAGAAAACTCTCTTCTGGTTTTGTTTACTTTAGAAAAAGTTGAATATGTAAACAAACTGACGTTTAAGCTCTTGAAAGCTTCCATGAGTCAATAACATGTAACCAGAATTTAAGAAGTGAAAAATTTTTTTAAATTCATATTTTATGAATAAAAAGAGGAAAAAAAATTTCGTATAAGTTAATTTTTATCTTCTTATATAAAAAATTACATATTATGAAAATATTTTCTAAGAAAAAAAAATGACTACAAAAATATAGTAACAAAAAGCTTGTTATTTGAAGAGAAAAAAAAAATGCCTAATTGAAGAGATATTCGAGATTTTTGTAAAATGATTTTTTTTATTATCGTCGAGAGTAATTTATTATAGAAAATTTTTAAATATGAAACTGTATCCTATAGAAAATTGAGAAAAGGGTTTTATTTTTTTTTTATTGAAAACAATCATTCATTTAAAAATGTAGGTTATTGTTTTTTTAAACAATTTTTTTTATGAATTTCATTTGTTTTTTATGAGTAAAAAAATTAATTTTTTTTTGAAATTATATAATAATAAAATGCTTGGTCTGTCCTTCTGTCCTAACTTGAAGTTGGCCTTTTCTGATTTCACGTGTTTTTTTGAATAGTAATCTTTATGACGTGTCAAATTTTGACAATTCTTTTTCTCATTTTTGCCAAAGTTGTATAATTGTGTTTCCAAATTTCGGAATAAGTTTCTTTAAAATTCCAAATTCGAAAATTCAATTCACGAAGCTGAAGTACACAACGTTTACCAACGACATTTTTTTTAAAATTGTATATTGATTCAAAAATTGTATACAAATACAAAAAATTTATGATGAGCAAAAAAGATGCGCCAAGAAATTTCGTACAAGATAGTTATAAATTTCAAAAGATATTGTTAATTTTCAAACAATTATTAAATTTTACAGAACTAAAAATAATTTATCAAACAATTTTTGGAAAACATTTTTTAAATTTAATTGAATTTTCAAAGATTTAAAATTGAGATTTTTGAAATTAATTGAAACTTTAAGTGATTTTTAATTAAAATTTTAGATGATTTCACTAAAAATTTTTTAGAAAATGCGGATAAAATACAATAATTTGAAAATCATTTTTAATTGAAAAATGGTTTCAGATATTTCTAAATTGAATTTCAAAGAATATTATTAAAATAGTTAAAAATAATTGAATTTCAGAAGAGTTATAATTGAAATTATTAAATTTCAAAAAAAAAATTTAGATGGAAAATTTTAGAAATAATAAAATTGAACTTTTTGAAAATAATTAAATTTCAATTCCAATTGATTTTAAATTGAAACTTTTAAGAATAACAGAATTTCAATTGATATTTAATTGAAATTTTGGAAAATAATTGAATTTTAGTTGATTTTGAATTGAAATTTTTGAAAATAATTCATTTTCAATTGATTTTGAATTGTAATTTTGGAAAATAATTAAATTTTAGTTGATTTAAAATTGAAAACTTTGAAAATAATTGAAATTCAATTGAAATTTTGGAAAATAATTAAATTTTAGTTGATTTTGAATTAATAACTTTGAAAATAATTGAATAACAGTTATAATTGAAATTATTAAATTAAAAAATAAAATTTCGATGGAAAATTGTAGAAATAATTAAATTTTAGATGCTTTTAAATTCAAATTATTGAAAATTCAATTAATTTTGAATTCAAATTGTTGAGAATAATTAAATTTTATTTGATTTTAAATTTGGAAAATAATTAATTGAAAAATAATTTTGAT